CTTAAGATGTTGAACGTGTGACTTACTGGATCACGAAAGAACACAGCTAGCTATGCTTAAGATGTTAAACGTGTGACTTACTGGATCACGAAAGAACATAGCTAGCCATGCTTAACATGTCAAACGTGTGACTTACTGGATCACAAAAGAACCCAGCTAGCTATGCTTAAGATGTCAAACGTGTGACCTACTGGATCACGAAAGAACCCAGCTAGCTATGCTTAAGATATCAAACGTGTGACTTACTGGATCACGAAAGAACCCAGCTAGCTATGCTTAAGATGTCAAAAGTGTGACTAACTGGATCACGAAAGAACTCAGCTAGCTATGCTTAAGATGTCAAACGTGTGACTAACTGGAAAAATATACAAAATGTACAGCTTTATTACTGAAAAGAAGATTAAAATGTAGTACAGGGCATATAATCTTCTACAGGACTTGCACTGAACCTAGTCAGCAGTATTTAATACGTTATGATATCCATTAGAGGACTTGTAGTGAGACCAACCAGCGCTGATTAATACATTATAATATTCATTATAAAACTTGTACTGAAGAATTGTTTGTTTGTTTGTATTAGAGGAGAGCTACATTAGTTCTCTGCTGTTTCTACCGCGAGGAATCTAACCCCAGATTTTAGCGATGTAAAGCCGAAAATTTACCACTGTCCTACCCGGGGGACGCCTATTATATGAAACTAACCAGTAGTGTTTAATACAATATATTATTCATTGCAGGACTTGTACTGAAACCAACAAGCATTGTTTAATACCTTAACGTATATGTACTACGTTAAATACAATACAGTATAAGCCAGGGGGCGTATTTTGAAACCAACAAGCTATGTTTGATACCTCACAACGTAAATTACAACACCTACCCTGAAAACATCATCTAAATTTAATAATTTAAAAATATACACCAGAGGGCCTGTATTGAAGTCAATAAGCTATGTTTAGAAATAGTCTAATCTATCTGGAAGTCAAACTGAATAAGAAAAGAAAATCCATATTTAGTATTTTGAATCACAGTTGATATTTTATGATCCATACTTCGAAGGAAACTAGTTCAACTTGATGCTAGAAAACTTCATTATACAAAACCTTAATCACTGTTGAATCTCTAAATCGCATTGAAAGCTAATTTGTTGCTGTTATAAGAACATCTTGAATCATAAAATTTTAGAAAGGAGGTTTGAGCAATGTAATAATAAAAAAAATGTTGTTAAAACTATAGAAGGCTGAGATGCTTTTGATGTAATGATTAGGAATTACTAGCAGACCTACGTGAACAAGTTAATTCGATGAATCGTATTACGATGTTAATTGTTTTCGGTTTGAAAGATTAATAAAGCTATAAGTAAAAATGAAATATCCGCTTAACCACTGAAATGGATTAGTCCGGTTCTCGGTATAACGGATTTCATAAATGTAACTTTAATTAATTTTTTATAAAAGCAGAAAATTAATTCGAAATGACGAGGTGAATACGTAACCAATATATAAATAGGTATCATCATATTACCAAGTAACATTTTTGTTTTTATTTTAGTTTTAATTGTTTTATAAAAGTTAAGAAAATTAATTTCGTAATTCTATTGCTAAATTTAAACAGTCGCCCTGTCGAAAACGCCAAATTATATGTTTTCTATTTCGTTACCTTTCGCAAAACCAACAATCAATGGTTTTACATTGATGAACGGAAATCGTCTAATGTATTTGAACGATAAGAATAATTGAAATTAAACACATCCCTTTGTTCAAAATTACTAACGTCAATATTTTTTTGGTAACTCTTTGTGAAAGCTAACGGCAAAAAAAGAGAAAAACAAACTATGTTCAATGGTTGTGGTTTAGGTTTTGTTAATAAGCTAACCACAAGTAATCCATAAGATTACCACTACTTTCTATGGATTGTGAAAAGGAAATATCTTGCAGTCGTTGCAACAGAGATAGAAGTTCATACGAATACTCTCAAACCCAGATATTATCGATCTTTCAACTCAGATATGCTTGGCTAGAAAACCAGTTCCCGAGGTTTATCATGCTTTCCTAACTTGTTATAGCGTTTTCCGTACATTGTTTTGGAAGAATGTTGTTAGTTATAGGGAGTGCCCGCAGGTCAAAACAGCAAGATGATGACAGCTTCGAAGTTGAGGTTCTTTGTAGTTTACTCTCTTGTCTATTTCCTCTTCTTGTTCACAACTGATGTGAAACACATTTGTAAAAGATAAAATAAATAAATAAACGTATAAATGAACACCTATAACTTGCTAGGATTTAACTAATAAATATTCAAATATTGTTTCTCTTCTCAGCTATTCTGAACCAATTTTGTTTCAGGACATCTGAAACTTAAAAAATGACTAGCAAATTTTGTTTGTTTGTACTGTTTATGATAAGGCCACTAAGGCTATTTGTACTACACCGAATTAAAAAGGATTTGTAAAACTTATTTGCTTTTACTACTTATAATAAAGGTGTTAAGACTATCTGTATTACACCGATTTAAAAAATAATAGTTTGCAAAGCTTGTTTGTTTGTATTATTTATGACGAAACTACTCAGGCTATCTGTATTACACCGGTTTAAAAATGACTTACAAAACTTGTTTCTTTGTATTGTTTACGGCAAAACTAATAAGGCTATCTGCATTACACTGATTTAAAAAATGGCTTGCAAACTTGTTCGTTTGTATTGTTTATGACAAAGCTACTCAGGCTATCTGTATTACACCGATTTAAAAAATGACTTGCAAAACCTTGTTTGTTTGTGTTGTTTACGACAAAGGGGGGAAACAACTGGCCAGCAGCACTCACTGCCAACTCTTGAGTTACTATTTCACCAACGAATAGTGAGATTGACCGTCACATAATAACGCCCTCACTCCTGAAAGGGTCAACATATTTGGCGCCGGGTTTCAATCCCGCGATCTTTAAATTGGGATTAGAATGTCTTAGTCACGAAATAAATTGATATAGCAGATGACCGTAGCTTAAAATAGGTCTAAATCTTTGTTGACATTTCTCACCTAATAATAATTGTTCATTTACTAATACGTTGTTGGTTCTTTTTAATGCATACAACACAGTGGGCCATTTAGATTTCAGCCGTGGGGGCGTTATAATGTGACGGTCAGTCTCACTATTCGTTGGTAAAAGAGTAGCCCAAGAGTTGGCAGTGAGTGGTGATGACTAGTTGCCTCCCCTCTAGTCTTTCGCTGCTAAATTAGGGACGGCTAGCGCAGATAGCCCTCGTGTCGTTTGGCGCAAAATCACAACAAACCAAACCAAATCATTTGGATTTTAGCGTTGTAGTCTGGAAACTTATCGCTCACCCACCGGGTTACTTAATGATAGAACTTAGTCAATGTTTACTTATAAGACTTCCCAGCAAGTGAATGATCATCGTACAATATTATGATTTCGTCTTACAATTACTTATTAAATTTCGTAAAGAAATCATGAAAAAGTAATATTGATATATCGTAGAAATTAACATTAAATATACTTAAGTGAAAAAAAAAAACCATAACTGGAAACACTAGACTTCTATGAATTGGTCTTTGTACCGTAACGTAGCATGGAAATCATACTTATAATAAGAAGCTATAAAATGTATGATTTAGTCTTAGTATCGTGACGTAGTATGGTAATCATACTCATCATAAGAAGTTATAAAATCTATGATTTAGTCTTAGTACCGTAACGTAGTGTGGTAATCATACTCGTAATAAGATGTTATAAAATTTGTGATTTGTTCATTGTACCGTAACGTAGTATGGTAATCATTCTCATAATAAGAAGTTATAAAATCTCTGATTTAGTCTTAGTACCGTAACATAGTGTGGTAATCATACTCATCATAAGAAGTTATAAAATCTATGATTTAGTCTTAGTATCGTAACGTAGTATGGTAATTATACTCATAGTTGGAAGTTACAAAAATACGCCCTGATGGAACTTAACTTGAATATTGTTGGTTTTCTTTAACCATACAATTTAGCAGGATTGCCATATGACGACCAAGCTTTATTTGAAAATGGTTATATTATGTTGTTGTTAAGCGTAAAGTTACACAATGGGCCATCTGTGATGTGTCTATCGCGGGTATCGAAACTCGGTTTTTAGCGTTATAAGCCTCCAGAACTTATTGAGTACAAGAGTGAAAAGCAACAAAGTTGAAGAAAAAAGTTAAAGTAAACCAAATTTTCAGTTATTAAAAATATTCTTATTGTGTATTCTTTGTTATTCTATAACATCCAAACATCTTGGTTATTAAAACATTTGATTGACAAATGCTCTCTTTAAGAAATGCGCTACTGTAAAACAGTAACATTCTAATTTGTTATTTAACCGAGTTCACTCTTGATCATTTTATAGCTATATAAATATTACGCAGAAACCAAGACTTATCGCTTAAGTTTTTCATACCTTCGTGTTTAAGAGTTAAGACTGAAAGTTAAGTCCATTCCCTGTTTAGTTTGTAGGTATCCAGGTGTGACAATAAAATAATGTGACAGCTGTTTAGCTTGGGGGTTTACATTTAAAATGATCGCACTGTTTCACTAGGTGACGAAGAACAGCCGAAGAAGCAAGCAGACAGAAAACTAGATATCAACACTCAGGAAACCGCAAGGCGAATGCAAGGTAAAAGAAAAACGAAAAAGCAATTCGCTAAACATATTTTGTGTTTGTTTTTTAGGATATTAGGGCAAACCTACACAAGGACAGTCTGCGCTAGCCGTCTTTAATTTTGAACTGATAACGGGACTAGGGGAAGGGCAATTAACTAGTCAACAGCAACCATCCCCAACTCTTGGGCTACTCTTGTCTGATTGAAATGATGGATTTGACCAGTACCCTTACAAAGCAACACGACTCCAAAGTTCGGAGCGAAAGCTTTTTTTATATTCATTTATTGATTTTTTTCTTGGTAACGGAACGTGAACTTGGGACTTGCAGATCCATCGCTAAACAATGTTACGTGATGTAATTAAACAACAAAATACACAGATCCACCGCTAAACAGTGTTACGTGATACTATTAAACAACAAAATACAAAGATCCACCACTAAACAGTGTTAGTGATACTATTTAACAACAAAATACAAAGATCCACTACTAACCAGTGTTACGTGATACTATTTAACAACAAAATACAAAGATCCACCGCTAAACAGTCTTATGTGACACAATTAAACAACAAAATACAATTTTATCTTCAGTTAATAGTGTTGTCATGGTAAATAGTAAGGGTTAAACCTTCCTATTTCTTGACTTTTTTTCACGTGTTTCTGATACTTTTAATTACACATACGAAAAATTCCAGTGTGAATGTTAAAATCTTCTGTTAATTATTCGACATAATCTTTTTACAGCAGTTTTAAAGTCTAAGTTGTACTCATCACAAGCTAAAAAGATATTGATAATAAGATGAAATTTACTATAGTAATATTTCGTATAATGAAGCTGGCGCTAATGTAACACTTAATTCATACTGCAAATATCATGGATCACATTAATTACGAATATAGTATGGGAAGCGCTCGTGCTTAAATGAAAATTACAAATCAATACTTCTCTTAATCTGCATTTTGAATACTTTAAACTACACATTTTTTTAGGCAGCTCTTACTTTTATACACGCAAATACATATATCTACATAAATTAGGGGATGACGGGTAATTTTTCTATGATAGTACCATAGATACTAAAGAAGTTAGCATTTAAATTACTTATCTAATTTCTTACCTTGGAAAGCTTGTGTTTTATAGATGAGACAAATCGAAGAAAATTTTATTGGAGTATTCAAAAGAAAATCGAATATATTATGATAATATTCAGTTTTTGTTTACCCTGAAAATGTGCCCACACCATTCTATCTAAATGCGCATGCGCGTGCACTTCAATGGATTTAAACAAAAGGCGTATGTAAATATACTTTAGTAGACATTTTGTAGAACAACATATTGAAAGCTGATCAAAGCTTTAAAAAGGTCTAACGTTAGATCGTAGAATAACATTATAAGTATATTGATTGATAGCAATAAGTACGGCAAAGTTTAGCTCTAACTAAACTAAAGTAAAAAACATGCACAAGTTATCAAATATAGGCTTCATTTGCAGTGAATTAATATCTTTCTAGAATAATGCAAAGGAATTCTCATCGCAGACACCAAAGTCTACTTTTGCTGGTCTCCGCTAGTATAATTGTTATGGTTTGTCGTCCATCTCAAATAAGAAGTAAAATTCAATAAATAAATCTTTCATCTACTCTGAACTTTTGATATTCCATGTTTAGATTTTAGGTCTAGTAGTGGCATGCTCAGCCTGAACAGCACCTTATGTGATATATGAGCTAACTGACCTGGTCAGTGACTTCAAGATTAAAGCATAGCCGTCTCTAATTTTGAACTGTTGATCAGAAAGAGTGTGAAGCCAGTCAACCAACATCCCTGCTTACATGATTAGTCTTAACTGACTATCGCTTTTATAACTCGCCCACACCTGAAAATGTGGAACGTGTTCACTGGGATATCGTGGGCTCGAACCTTAGTTCTCCTGATTCGAAGCCCGCACTTTAATCAATAAGTGTCATGTCCTACCCATGTTGAGGTTTAATAATAAAAGGTTTTCTAGATCAGTTGCTTAAAATTTCTTTTTTATTTCGAACATAAATATGCAGTTATATTTTAAAAATGATATTTTTATAATAACAATTTATTTTGGGATTACGAACTCCCGAATATGCACAGAAACAATTTATTCCCATAATTATACACTTTTCTTAGACTCGCACTTTTATCAGACGTTTAATACGTTGTTGTTTAGGTAGAATCTGTTCTAAAGCATTATTCTAATGATTTTTTTTGTTGTTTTTTTAGAATTAAAGAAATAGTTTGGATGTTGGTAATAAATGTTGTAGAGGGCGTAGTTTATTTTCTTTTTCAAAGAATATATTCTTCTGAATTTAAGACATGACTTATGTCATGATATACTTTACTGCATTAATGACAAAGAAACGTTGTTGCTATTTATACGGTCGTTTTCAACCAAATGTTTTTATAACTCCACCCTTGTGGCGCTTGGCATGTTTCGTCTATGTTGAAAGTGGCCATGTAACGAGACCAGAGTTATCCTTTCGTAAACGTTTCAGATTTTGCTGGGATCAGATTCACACTTGGCACGTGATCTGCAATTTAAAACATGTCACTATCCTCCCAGCAGCTGAGGCCTCGCGACTTCGTGCCATTCGAACTAGGCTTATGGAAACGAATACGGAATTCAAAATCAAGCTTCGTCGATAGCAATGAAAACACATAAGATAAATGAGATTTTTTTTTACTCCAAGAAGTATAAGAGATCAAAATATAAAATACGATAAAAATAGCTTTTTAACTATTTATACGGTTTAGTATTCTTCTTACAGATCATGCAATCCGATACCGTGTAGTATATATATATATTTCCCAGCGTTTGATGTGATACAAAAGGACAGATAGACCTTCAATATTTTTAGTTCAGGAGCTTGTTGTCTTATTTCTATATGGCGCGAACGTGGATCAGTGGTTAGCGTGCTGGGCTGGGGATCTAAGGTTTCGGTTCGAAACATGGTGCTACTAAACACGTTTCACACTTTCAACTGTGAATGCATTATAAGAGTGACAGTCATTCCCGCTCTTTCGTTAAGAATAAACGCTTTGGACGGCAGCGGGTGCTGCCAACTGGTTTCATTATCTTTGATTCACAGTTCAAAATTAGTGATGTCTGTATCTGAACCATAGGAGTCTCTGATCTGGCCATTTAACCGATTCCGCGCATAAAGTGTCGTGTAGGTGAACAAACAAACAATCTTTCTGTACAGCTAATCATCTCCAGATCAGTAATATAACCTAGAATTGTAATTTTACAGTAAGTTAAAATTCACCATCTCCAGATCAGTGCCTGAATCATACCTGAAATCCTCTCATGAGCTTTTATTATACACTGGGGCAATCACTTGTTTATTTATCATCCAAATATTAAATCACTTCCCGACTTGTATTTATTGATACTGTTAAAATGGCGAAGTTTTAATATAAAATGTCACATTATTTTTCATGACTTTTTAAAAGTGTCCTCCCACAGCAACCATTGTATTTAGATGTGATGATGACTAAGGCGAGTTATTAGATAATTTTATCTATAGACCGATCTGTACGGAAAATTCCCGATAAATTAAATCCACATCAATAAATAATCCTTCCAATTTCAGTTCTGCTCAATACGATTATAACCCTCTTCTCAAGTAGGATTATTTGAAACCACATTGATAAATCTCAATGAATTATTTTTACTTGATAAAACTTTGATTTTATACCACTCTTCTCAAGTAGGATTATTTGAAACCACATTGAGAAATCTCAATGAATTATTTTCACTTGATAAACTTTGAGTTTATACCACTCTTCTCAAGTAGGATTATTTGAAACCACATTGAGAAATCTCAATGAATTATTTTTACTTGATAAAACTTTGATTTTTTTTTATTATATGTAGTTGAATTTGAACTACTTTGTAAACTAACTGTACCCTTGGTTACTTGTTAACTGGTGTTTTACTCCTTATTTGCTAACATGTAACATAGGTTAAGCTGTGATACTCTGCTGTAAGCGGACATAATTGTAATATAATTTCAATTTCAGTGCTGGATTTGAACCTTTTATTATAAAATATTTCATGTTAAAAGTTTGAACGATTCGTGAGCTGTTCTTAATTAATTTGAAACCCATTTTTATTCAAGAAAATTTATCTTTAACTTACAGAAGTTTCGTTATTTCATTATTTTTTCTTTTTGTGAAAGTCGTTAACTGGTCGTTATCAGAAAGTAGAGAGAAAAGAAAAAATTATCGACCAGTCGGAACAGTTTGTCCCATTTTATTGAAAACACGACAACGTAACGTGAAAACAACCGAAAAACAACCACATTAAACTAATGTAAAGAGAAAGAAAAATCGATTGATGAGATTTTTTTATAATTTTAGGTGGGAAATTCAACTCGCCGAACGTATCAGAAACAAGAGAACAAGGATCCTTTGCAAGTCCACCTCTTCAGAATTTTCCTGGTAAGTTTTATTGTTATTTACCGTCCAAAAGGGTATGAATATCTCTAAAAAAGTTCCAAAAATACGTTGTGAGCATTATTTAGTTTATTAAATATGTTACATATGTACAACATATTCTGTGATGAGTCAAACAGTCAGGACGAAACCAATAACATATATCAGATTTTGTGAAAAGTCGAACTGCCAGGATGAAAAACAATAGACTATCTGAAGGGTCAACCATCAGGATGAAAAACTGGTGTATGATAGATTATGTGAAGAGTCAAATCATCAGAGTGAAAAACAATAGCGTAAAACAGATTCTCTGAAGAGTCAAATAGTCAGGGTGGAAACATTGGTGTGCAACATATTCCTTGAAGAGTCAAACAATCAGGGTGGAAACACTGATATGAAACAGGTTCTTTGAAGAATCAAACAATCATGGTAGAAACACTGGTGTACAACTGATTCCCTGAAGAGTCAAACAATCAGGAAGGAAGCTCTGGCGTAAAACAGATTCCCCGAAGAGTCAAACAATAAGGGTGGAAACGCTGGTGTACAAAATATTCTTTAAAGAGTCAAAGTATCAGAATGGAAGCACTGGTGTAAAACAGATTCTCTGGAGAGTCGAAGCATCAGGATGGAAACACAGGAGTAGAATAGATTAATTAGAAAAATATACTAACTCATTTTATATTTTGTTTTAAATTAAGATGTTTATCATAACCATCAAATTCTCAGCTTTATTTAATCTCTTCTAAATATGATCAGTGATGTGAAAATAATACAATATTAAATAGTTTATACTAACAAACTAATTTGTTTCAGTAAATAATGCTATGAAAACTTTTAATCGGATTTACGCGTTCTCCAAAATATTTGGTTTGTCCTCGTTCCAGGAACGTATAGATGAATTCTGATTTTTTTATGTCCCAGATAAACAGAGTGGTTCTTCGAGGCCCAAGTTGGATTTTACCTGTCACTTCGGTTATGGGTTCATGCTTTGCTTTATGACCGAACTTCTGCTGTTTCTACCCACCAAAAGATGACGGGTGGCTAGAATCTGTGCTCCTGATGGTGCTCGTGTCACTTGGTTATGGGCAAAGTAGCCTTTATGATCTCAGAACTCTGCTCTTTACATACGGAGATACGTGGATCCGAGCCAAATGTAAAAAAATAAATAAAACTTGTAGTGTTTCTTGTCGTGGGAATATAAACAGTCTACGTATGTTATTTAGTCCAAAAAAATGAATGATTTTTTAAGCTTATAAAGACAGTTGTTAGTTCTCATGGTAATATTCGTTGGGTAAAAATAGCAATGTGCTTGGATATCACTGCTACAAATTCAGACATTTTGGAGAGTTGTTTATTGAAATATACTGTATTACTGAAACTGTTTATTGTAAAAACACTTCTTCGCTAGTAAGAAAAACAATAAGTTGAATTATTTGGTGAAAGAAAACACTTTCTGAAACGATTACCATGGAGTAAGAAAACCGGTAGTCGGTCGTATTGAAGTGTACATTATACATCAGAATTAAATGTTGATAAATTTGAGTTAGAGATTGTGGATAACACAAGCCCCGTACCTTTAGCTTATAGGTAGTAGGGTGTAATTTGGATATTCAAATGTATTGTTTGTTTGTATTATATGCCATTAACCACTGCTAATGTAAGACATTATCATAATTTAATGTTCAATTGAAGATTGTATAATGTAATTGTCAGTTATCGTCATTAAAGTCTGCAGTTCTATAGCGCTCAGTCAGTTGTACATTTCTCTTGATGGTTTAAATAAAAAAAAATGATTCTTCATTTTCACTATTTCCAGATAGTCACTTCAATAACTAACAAGTAAAATAAATATAACCTTTTTTATATTATCTTCTTGAATGCTGAAACTCCTAAAAATGAACACATGAATGCATTCAGAAGCTGTAAATAATGGTTTCAAAAGCTGTGGACCTAAAAGTCAAAGTTTAAAAACACGAAGGCTAACATTACCTTTAACAATGTTAAGAGGGTATCATAAGAATAAATAAATATTAATAATTATTTATTTACTTTTTAAATATATATATTTTTTAAATAATGGTAGACTAAGCGGACAGAAGCTATAAAAAGTGTAAATTTTCCATTTCCAAAAAGAGCAACATATTTTGTTTCTCGACATTTTTTTATTTGTTACATTGGCATCAAGAACATAAGGCTTTAACCCCATTTTTGAATGTTTTATACTCGCTGATTTTCATATCAACAAATGTAGCAAATCGATCAATTTCTTCAGTTTATATTATAAATTTTATATATGTTGCAAATACACTGGATCTACTAATGATATTCACTTCTGTTTCTTGGTTTAAACATGATAAATGGATATTTTAAGCTCGGCTGGCAAATATTTTGATCACAGATGGACATGAGTTTAAAGAATTATTCAGTTTATTCGTCGACGTAACACTTACATAGAGATGTGCCTACGTGAGATTTGGTTTAAACCCCCTTAATGGCCGCTTCACGTTTTCTCTACACGCTTTCATATTTCGGTTAGTTAAATTCACTGGAATTTGTTTTAAAACATAAACCACAGGCTAAAGAACTACAGAACTTACACTGCTGGCTTCAGAAAGATGCGGTGAAACGTTGCCGTTTTTCCTGAAGTCTTTGTAATAGTCTCCTTCTTGTGTGCCGTATCAGTGGAGAATAAAATGATAAACCTTTCTTGTAAGTTTTTAGTAGGGTCAAGCGATAATGTAAATAAAAACCTAAATATTTGTCAGCTGTGTTTTCATGACATACCTCCAGATATGGGAGGTACTGTCTTGCCAAGTAAGGCTTATTATATCTATTTATCGTGTCTCATTTAGTTAAAAACATAGTACCTACATTGTCTGTTTGTTTGGGATATTCTGCATAAAAGCTACATAGAGGCTAAATGTTTGTAATTTTGAGCCGATAGACTGGAGGGAGGCAGCTAGTCAACGCCACCCACCGTAATCTATTGGGCTACTTTAATCGAATAGTGAGATTTGACAGTCACTCCTAGTACACACCCACGGACCCAAAGTGCAGAGCGTGAGTTTGAAACAACGGAATGCAAGCCTTCACAGGCCGGCCCAAGTACTTAAAATAACGTATATACGCTATGTACAATTAGTGAATACAGACATAGAAGATCATACCATTACTTTCACTTATAATGTTCAAAATATCCAGGTGGTTAGGGCGCTCTACTCGCATCTGAGGGTCGCGGGTTCGAATTCCCTGTCACACCAAAC